ATATATATATATATATGTAAAACTTTTAAAAAAATGTTTTATTTCACATCCTCCATGTGCAAAATTTGACAAGGCTTAGCAATGTATGAAAAGCAGGAAATGAGAGATATTTGTTTGCTGTTCTTCTTTATTTACTGTTCTATGTTTTAAGTAAAATAACTTTAAGAAGTTATTTGTAAATAATAATAATGTATATACATATATAATGTATTCTAGCTGAAATGTGACTGTATTTTATAAAATACCTGTCCACTAAAACACAGCCAAGACAGGTCACTTTGTAAAGGCCAGTTTTATATTCTTGAATATGGTAAATGAGTGCACTTGTGTTGCATCATTGCAACTTCTGTATTGTTTGCCAGGCACAGCTGAAAAGGCCAATATAATAAATATACAATGTTTTGAGATTTAAGCTATTTAGACTAAACATTTGTGTTTTCATGTTGTAATTTATAGTCATTCTAGAACCAAAAAGGTATAATTTATACTTATTTCCTAATTTTTTATGGTGATTATGAGGTTGGTCAAATTGACTGAACCCATACAGAGATTCAGTGAAAATAAGAGATAAATATAAAGTTTTTTTCTTAAAAAACTTTGATAATTATCTGGAAGTTATAAAGATTACGCATGTGAAATTTGAACATTTTCTGATGCATAAAAGTATTTTTAACCTTAAAATCTAAATTACTTTGCATGTTGGATAGTCAAAATTCCAAAAGAAAAAAGGTATGAGAAAGACATTACTTAAAAAAATCTTATAAATTAATAAAAAGTCTGATATTTTGTGTACGAAAGCCTTGTAATGTTTACTGATAATCTGCAAAATGTTGTGAAGATACACATATTGTATTAAAAGTTATAGCATGAAAACTATAACAAGCACAAAATGGTTATGAGGCCGGTTCTTGGGACTGAGCCCGTGCTGAAATATTTAATATTGTAGAATACAGTAAAGAGCATTATTTATCATAGAATGATGCATTTTTAAAAGGTGTAATAATGTGTTTCAAGTAAGATCAATATGTAGGTTTAATAATATTGAAAATGAAAAACATGTTAAGATTTCAAAGAATATGTGCTATTATTTTACAGTAACTTTTCAACTGTAATGACCATTGTTAGTCTTATTGGTGATATAGTTTAAAATGCAAGCAGTGTTGGATAAGTAGACACTTAACAGGTACATATATGAAATGTATATATATAAACAGACATACTTACATGAGAGAGAGAGAGACAGATGAATACATCCACATAAAAAGTACTGGCACATGAACTAAGTATGTGGTGTTCATTATTAATTAAACACATACATGTATCATTAAATTTCCTTATTAATTAAACATGTAAATATATCCTTGAATTTCATTATTAATTAAACACATAAATATATCCTTGAATTTCATTATTAATTAAACACTTAAGTATATTCTTGAATTTCATTAATTAAACACATAAATTGTCCCTGAATTTCATTATTAATTAAACACATAAATATATCCTTGAATTTTATTATTAATTAAACACTTAAGTATATCCTTGAATTTTATTATTAATTAAACACATACATATATCATTAAATTTCCTTATTAATTAAACACATAAATATATTTTTTATTTCCTTATTAATTAAACATGTAAATATATCCTTGAATTTCCTTATTAATTAAACATGTAAATATATCCTTGAATTTCCTTATTAATTAAACATGTAAATAT